GTGAACAACTTGTGTTTCGCGCGCTCATATGACCTTAGCAGTTGCGAGCGCCGTAAAACCTTATACTACTACTACTACTACTCATTTACCAAGATATTCGGGGTAACCAGTACTTTTTTAAAGCACTTTGTGCAATCATCTTTTACTTTGGCTTTGGTACTTGGTGTAAATAGAGTATGTCCATGCTTTGTCTTTATGGGTTGGAAACTGTATTCCAGTACAGGACTTCGGCTTTTTTAAGATGTGACTTCTGCAATCCATTGAAAAGCTACTGGAGTCCGATAGATAAAACATGTAGAGGGGCAGAATGAAACAAGGTTTTATTGTCTTCTGTAAGGTTAGTTTTTATTTAACATACCCAAATAATGTTTTTATTGAAGTTATTCCATAGGTGTCTGCTTTGCTAAGTAAATTGATAACAGTTTTCCTTGTTTATTTTTAAAATGTGATCATGGAATTTATATTTGTTCTGTGTTCTGTGGAATAAAGCATGATTTATTCATGTTATTTATATCTTCTCCAGGCAATGTCCACCATCCTCCTCTGCAGTGCCAGTCTCGGAATCGGTTACTTCATCGCAAAAAGTGGCTACCTCTGGCCGCTGGTCGCAGCATTGGGTGGCAGCACTCTGGCTCTTCTGTGGTTTATTTTTGTCTTGAGGGAGTCTGTGGAGACCGGTAGTTTTGCTGATTGTCATGAGAGGATGGAAGGTAGGTTCCTCAGCTACTGTGTTGTGGACAGTAAGCTTCTTGGAAACAGACTTTAAAAAAAAAAGAATCAGATGTTCTCAAAAAGCTATGTTTTTGGAAAGATTAAAATGTTGGTGTCATATCCCATCTAGAATGACTTCATAACAAAATAGTGCCACAATTTGTATTGACATTTTGTGGCATCTTATAATTTTCGTTAATGAATCTTGACTCGTGAAGTACTAGAAAATTTGAGGCTGGCCACCCGGCCTTCTGAACTGTTCCTCAATTTACTCTTCCATTCATACCAAGCAGATCACAATTTTTATTAAGACTTTTATATGTTTCTATTCAATGAGGGTGTTAGAAAGTAAAATTATTGTCAGACAAGAATGGATGGTTTTACGTTTTAAAAGGTAATCTTGAAACTTTTCTGTAGACTGAATGTCATGATTGAATTCTTCAAATGGAAATTTTTTTTCATGATAGAATTTTTCTAAAGGGAATTTTTTTTCCTTTGTAGCCCAGTAAAAGCTCACCAATTACTAGGAAGACATCGTACCAAAGTGATATGTTTGGCTTTTAGCAGTTGCTGAAGAAAAAAAAAATCATTAAGTTTGGG